GCCGAGTCCAAAACAGCACGCCAGTCATTTCTCTTCTGTGCTAACTGACGCCAATTGAAAATGCCAAGTGAAGCCAAGTCCTTCTCCACCTGGTCTTTCCAACGCAGAGGAGGCCTTCCTCTTCCTCTGTTACCAGCATCGCGGCCCGCGTTGAATATTTTCAGAGCAGGAGCGTTTCTGTTCATTCGAACGACATGACCAAGCCAGCGGAGCCGCTGTATTTTAATTCGCTGCACTATGTCCATATCGTTGTAAAGCTCATACAGCTCATCGTTACAAAATCGCTTAGGCGGTTACAGCGCCAATTAAGAAGAAGAAGATAAAAGAAACTCGCAGCAAAAGCACTTGATTTTATAGGTAATTTTCTCACCACTGCGTAAAGAAATAAAAATTTTAGATAGGGCTTTTCTATATTAAGCTAACGATATGTAAGTATCTATTGTGTAAAGTTGCTGCTTCCATAAAGATTTTATGATTTAAAAATAACATACCGCGTGCTTTCTGTTCTTGGTGAGCAGTCCTTTGAGAAACTCTTTGTGGTGTACCTGAAATAAAATTTAAAAAAGAACGCGTCAAGATCATCCTATGTTTTTTTTTATATATCTAAGAAAATTTTCATCAAGTATATATTATTTTGTGGTGTACCTGAAATAAAATTTAAAAAAGAACGCGTCAAGATCATCCTATGTTTTTTTTTATATATCTAAGAAAATTTTCATCAAGTATATATTATTTTTTATTAATTAAGACCACTTCGCGCATGTACAAAGGGCGGCAAGCATGCTAATCGTGAGAGCGCCTTCAAATCTACCAACCTCTATAAAGCAAATGGAGAGACGCATGGTTCGGTCAAACCAATATTCTAACAAATTACCCCCGACATGTGTACATACGTATGTTACGGCTTTATATCTTGAAAACATGTTCTCCATATGCATATAAGACCTCTTACTGAATCATTGTTTTAGGCAACTCATATAAACACTCGATTCTTGTCTTACACTACCTTCTTATAGCCAAGCAGCTATCTGGTTTCTAAAAAGACGAGGATAACAAAGTCTCTGGGGACGATGGAATCCCCGAAGATCTGTAAGAGCACAAGTATCAGCTGTTAGCCCATCTCGTATCGGTGTTGCATACATGTAACAAATGCATTTAACTAAAATAGCTATTTATTTTTCACGCGTTTTCAAAAATTTTAAAAATTTTATTATCTGCTGTTTTTTCTACATATATGCAAAAAAATACAACAAAAATATTTTTACTTATAAAAATTTTATTTTACAGAAAGTACATTTTTATACGCTATAAAAGATATATATATATCGTCGTTTAAAGTACAAAACCGCGTAACTGACATTGGCTGTCAAAAATTGGATTTCCTCACTCAAGCTCTTTGCTCAATCCTTATCCATTCGTCCTGAAATATACTAGCCAGAAATACGACTGCTTTATAAAAAAGAGAACCATTTTCNAAAATTTTAAAAATTTTATTATCTGCTGTTTTTTCTACATATATGCAAAAAAATACAACAAAAATATTTTTACTTATAAAAATTTTATTTTACAGAAAGTACATTTTTATACGCTATAAAAGATATATATATATCGTCGTTTAAAATACAAAACCGCGTAACTGACATTGGCTGCCAAAAATTGGATTTCCTCACTCAAGCTCTTTGCTCAATCCTTATCCATTCGTCCTGAAATATACTAGCCAGAAATACGACTGCTTTATAAAAAAGAGAACCATTTTCAAATATGAGTGGTTTTACGCTCTAGAAAATAATTTCTACAACTTCACATACGCGGTTTTGCACTTTAAACGACGATATAATATAATGACACATTACAAAAATTAGTAAAGGATTCTTTTATATTTACATCTTTGCGAGAAATAATTTTTTTAGAGTATATTCAATCTATAAAAGAGTCGTTCAATTAAAATTAGTTTGACTTTCACAAGCGCATGGACCGGTTATAGTAATAAGTTTTCACAAATGGGGTGTCTCATAAACCCTATTGGAATATATTTTTTCTTTCGAATTACGTTGCTTAATATTTTGAAAAAATTCTAGTTGTTTACATTTTTATAATAAGTAAAAATAAAATTATGTATATGGTTTTATTTAATTAAGTTCCTTAGGATCTAACAATAAGTGGTCTGAATTAGCAACATTTTTTTCTTAGGGGTTTAATACATCCGGCCTGTTAAATGCTAGACAAAGTTTTAATTGAATACAAATCCCCTCAGAAAGATATCAAAACCATCTCCGGCTCAGACGGCTCGTAAGATCTCTGGAGCCTCTCTTTTGCACCGATGGAGTGAGGTTAAGCTCAAGAGTTTGCACTGAAAATCGAGTCGGAGATTAAGCTCACTTTGTATGCACGAGAACCTGTGAGTCATATTTTGCCTAGAATAATTTGAAGATTTCTTGTCTGCAGTACGTTTGTAAATCACAGTGGACAATACCTACACCAATTGTGCAGTGCCGTTTTATAATTCGCTTAGGAAAAAATAACGTACCGTAAGACACCGGTTATGTACATCGTTCATTCGCTGGAAAAATCCTTACCAATCTGATTATAATTAGTGATTTTTGTTGTTGTTGTTTTAACAAAAATTACAATGATGTGTCTTAAATAGTAAAAGTTATTTTAGGGTGGTACCCTTAGAAATAGGGGAATTTTACAGGAATTCGGGGGAAGTAGCCTTAATAGACTTGGCATCCCTGGTACAGAGCTTTCATCAAACTCCTCAGAAAGAAGAAAAAAATATCGAAATCGATCGAAATAATTGAAGCGATGCCTACAGTGTATGGGGTGTCTGGACCTTTATTTGTCACCATAAAATGCTCGATCCGAGAATTCGAGTATGGCAGGGAGTCGCTGGAATATGATCCCAGGTCAGAGCGTCCAAATACTGCCGTCATCTCCGTGTTTACAAGCTTTTATTAATCATCAATCACCATCAATTATTAATTATCAATCGATTTTAAACTAACTTCCCGACAAGCTAGAGACTTGAAAATTTCAGCATAGTTCCAATCACGATGACAATGTAATATAGAATATAAATTAATTTTCTAGATGGTCCAGGGGTCTTGATACGAAGGCGGTCAAAACACAGTAAAATTTATGGCTACCAGAGCGCAATTTGTCAAAGAAGGTAAAAACGCCGTAAATTTGTTAAATAATAAGTATAGTTTCAGGCGTTAGTAAGACAAATACCGGAAAATAGATTCAGCTGTGTTTAACATGACCAAATTGTTAAATATTAGGCACTTCTGTTAAGAATTACATTATTTGGTTTCCTCACACAGGGAGTTAGTGAAATATAGAGATGCGATAAAAAGCACGCAAAATGCACATGCATGCATCTAAAAAGTGTACATACTTTCAATATCCTGCGGGCGAAAAAATTTCAGTTAGTACGATGTGTTACTTCTGAGTACTGTTAAGGTGATGCGGATAATGCTACATTGTCGTGTGCAATGGCATGTTAAAGGTAAACGGAAAACCATTGTCTATAATTAATAAATTTCCGTATCAAGACCCCTGGACCATCTAGGGAATTAATTTATATTCTATATTACATTGTCATCGTGATTGGAAATATGCTGAAAATTTCAAGTCTCTAGCTTGTCGGGAAGTTAGTTTAAAATCGATTGGAAATTTCCGCGGGAGGACGAAGTTAAATAAAAGCTTGTAAAAATGGGAAATAGAAGGCGGAGACCTTTCAATTTTGGATCGTAAATTTCTTCTTCTTCGTGCCCGCAGCAGAACGGACTTTTTTGCGGGCATAAATGTACAAGAAGTAAATTTGAAATAACAGCTGTTGTTTGTTTACATCCGAAAGCAAATTTTGTAAAATACAAAAATGAAAAATAGCACAAAAGTTTCAGAAATGTAGGTATTTGGTATTTTTATTAGCCATATAAGATAAATACACATAAAATCATTGTATAGAACTGATTTCTTATTTCCGGGCACAAAATGTCGTTTTTTGCGTTCCTCACGCTCTGGGAATTTTTGCCACATGTTGACAAATTTTTGATACTTATGAGAGAGTAACTTATTTTTACGCTCGAATTACTGAAATAGCCCGGCATAGTGATGTAAATAGTATCAAGTATCGAATAGTATATATTTGATGCTGTTGAGCAATTTGAGTATTCGATAAGTATTGAAAAAGTTATGGTGATACTTCGATACTCAATCATCCTAGTTAAAATATATTTTCATAACAAACGTCACCAAAGCAAAGTAACGGGTTGCAAAATTTACAATGGTTGAATGGAGAATGGTTGGGGAGCAGTGTATAACTAGGTTCCAAAGTAATAATTTACCGGAACACTACGTGGATCAAACAAACGGCAATTCTCTTTGGAGTGACGTCGAGATCCGCTCGCGTGGTGGAAAGAATGGGAAAAATATATCGCCAAATAGCTGAAATAGTTAAGACTTATTTATGGTAACAATAAACTTCAACAGCAGTTCAGTAGTTTTTATTAAATGTTTTCGAGTAACTGAGAAATAAAAGGGTCCTTTATAGATTTTGCGAAAAATGTATTTTATTGTTAATTTTCCACAGATTTTACTTTAGTTGTATAATTAGTTTTTAGATTTTAGTACTTATTTACATTTGCCAGCAGTGTAAACTTTGAGAGAAGAGTTCATTTGGCACGCAGGTCTTCGTCAGTTAATTTAATCCATATCTTCTGTAACCATAGGCGAACTTTCTTCATTTTGAGTCCCCGTTTTGTCCAACATAAGGCCTCATTTCGACCGACCTTATACAGTTTTTTCTATTTTTGTATTTTTTTATACAAAGCCTAAAGCTGAGATCACACGATTGCCGAAAATGCACCAATCTGCAACAATTTTTATTGTGCTGTATTGGAGCACAATAAAAAAATTGTCCCAATCAAATTCTGTACAGTCACACGGTTGTCCCTTTTTATACAATTTTGATTGCCGTAAGTTAGAGCTGGGATACTATCGATAGTTTTTGAAAGCTATCGATGTCGGGTTTAGAGAAACTTCTCTCTTCTTTAGATCTCTTATCATTACATGATTTTTTTTTTATCCAAGGAAATTAACAATACAGTCGGCAAAAAAAATTTTTAGTTATTGGAACTATATAAGCTTACACTGAGTCAAGTAAAATTCAATAAGTTATAAAACCGCTTACACAAAATTTTTATAGAAAATTTGAATTAAAAAGCTTGAAATTTTAATGATTTTGTATTTTCTTATGTATTGTACAACTTTTATAAAAAATTAGTAGACACTAAACAAACAAAAAAATAGTCAAAACTGCTAAAAATGTTGTGGTGCTATTATTTTAACAGGTACTTTATTCGTTGTCTTATAATATGGTGAAATGTTAATAATTTCCTTTGTCTGCATTTGGATATGCGCCTCCACATTTGATCTCAGTTTAACTTTTATCAGTATGAGTTGTCAATTTAAACGAATATCTTTTGTTTTGTTTGTTTTGTTTGTTTTGTAGTGTTAGAAATGTATTATTATAGCTAATTTC